GAGAGCTGCATTCGCTGCCCAAACCCAGCTGTCTTTGTCTTGTCTCCCCAGGTGATCTGCAAAGACTGGAGCAACCTTGCGGGGAAAAACTACATCATCCTGAATATGTCGGATAACATTGACTGTGTAAGTTAGTCCAAAGAGATTTGATGGCATGGGGGGGAATAGTGCTTAGAGATGTGGAGGCAGGCACAGCTCTTCTGTCTGCTTTCGCCACAAAACATTTTAAAAGCACTAAATCTCAAAGTCCCTACAGAGGGTGTGGAGAGAAGGGGAGGAGGATGGAAATGTTCCTGTTCTCCAAATGGGAAAGAGCGGGTGGAAGGAGAGGATTTTGCTCCAAGTCTAGCACATGTCAGTCCCATATTGGATTTTGACTAACTCCTGGCTGTGAGTCTGTGCCAGTCAGTACCTGGATTGTCATAAGACATGAGAGCTTTTAACGTTGTGCCTCTTACTGGTAGGAAAGGTGGCAGGATTGAGGTTTGAGTCTCCTTCTCTCTCTTCCTTCCTCTCCTTCCAGGATATAGTAATGTTCCTCTGATGGCTCAGAGGAATAGGGACTCCCCATTTGCAGTGTGAATGGTTCAGTGTCAAGCAGCTGTCACTAAATCTTCCTGAAGTGCTTCTTCTCCCCACCCTGTTATCTTGTGTGTTATCTGGGTCTGTTAACCAGCCACGCTCTGCTAATCCGCTGCCTGTCCATCCATCCATCCCCATAAAGCTGCAGTTAATTCATGAGGCCAGAGCCCCTTGTGGGTCCCTGGTAAAAGGGCTCATTCACCTCTGCTGGGCCTTTTATCAGGCACTTAAAAACCAGTTGTGAAAGGCCTGGGGTCAAGGTGCCTTTCATAATTCTAAGAAATGATTACGAGCCTGACAGCCCGAGACCGAAATGTTTCATCGGGGAACTGTGGTCTGGCCTCTTGTGTCTGCAGTCTCACTCACTGCGGCTCCTGCTCTGGGCAGACCTGGCTGGTTTTGTTACTGCAGGGTGGCACTGGCCTATTTCCACTACTGGTGAGTGGTTGGGGTTCTTTTTTTTTATTATTTTTTTTAATTTTTTTTTTAAGGTGAACTTTTTGGGGACAGGGAAAACGGGAATTCCTGTACCCAATAAAGCATGCTGACTGCTTTAAGGGTAGATGAAAAGTTGGTCTCTTTCCTCCTGATTTAAGCAAACCAGTTGGCTCTTTGGAGGGTTTTAAGTATCTCTGCTACAGTTCACAGTTGCAACTCAGAAAATCAGTCTTTGAAAACCAGAGTCCTGCTGCCCTGTTTCCTCCATGTCCTAGTCCCCATTGCTCTTTCTCCCATCTCTGTGGAGCTTAAATGCTGGTTAATTTTGTAATACGTAGTTGCTTCCTTCCTGTGGTCACTTGTGTTGTTTAAACCACTGGAAGGGCAAGAACTGAAAAGCAGATGTGCAGATGTCTCTTGACGAAATGGTGTCTTTACTGTTGAATCCTCAGTTCTGCCTTGCTGAAAGAAGACAGTGCCCTGGGATAGGCAGGACTGAACTGTTTTTCTACTTGGTTTCATGTTTCAAAACATATTTCCCAGCGAATGATTTGTGCTGTCCCCCCCCTTACTCAAAGGGACGCTTGTCAACATACATATTTAACATGAACATTGCTTCGTTCCCTACCTCCCATTACCACTTTGCATGGCTGAAGCTGGAATCAAGCTCTTCTCCTTTCCACTGATGCTGATGCAGTTTGTTTCCTACCCGTGGTAATTTGCTCAGTTTGGGCAACTCACCTACCGTCTGTCTGTCCCTTTTGTTTTCTGGTTTCTGTATCTGAGCCCTGTGGTGTTTGGATTTCCAGGGTTGCGAGGGAGAACCTGCATTACGAGTGCTGTAGCTTAAATTAGTGTGAATGGGGATTCCTCACATATTCCCTGTGTTTTGATGCCCTGATCTGGTGCGGTACCAAGTCCCACTGAAAAGCTGAGGGGCATGGAGGATGCTTAGCCCCTTCCAGAGGGCTGCACCTTGAGCTTTAATATTCTTCATCGTGCCAGGCTTTTACCTGCTGCAGAGATGATGTCTGTATTGCTGGGTTAAGCTGGCAGCCCATTTATCTTTCTAATGGCAAGGCAGTCGCTTCAGTCTCTCTCTGGGCACATCTCCCACTCAATATACCTAGGAATTTTGCCCAAGTGAGGACCGCAGGATCTGACCCGGCAGTGGTACCTGGCTACACATCAGGAGGTGACCTCCACCTCGCCTCACGTGTGTTCGGGCTCCTTCCTGAATCCCGCCACGGAGCATTTATCAGTGCTCTGCAACCTCTGCTTTCCCCGTCACTAGAAACATCTCACCTCTGCCCTCCTCCTGCTCCTGGGCTAAGCTGCTCCCCCTTCCTCCACATCCCCCAGAACGGAGCCGCAGGCTGGCAGCGGGGCCGGGAGCTGCAGCTGAGCAGCATGGTGCTGCATCCTGGCGCTGCTCCTCCTGCCTCCCCGTGCCGAAACGCCGAACCTGATGAGACGAGGCACTGGCAGGCCCTTCTGATTCAGGCCCCAGTCATCGGTGTCTTTTCCAATTAGGCCGTTTTCGGCACAGGCCTGTGCCTGCCCTGAGCGCTTCGAATTGCCATGGCAACCAGAGCTCTCCATTTTATTAATCATCTATGTGACCTTCAGGTTGGCATGGAAACCGGAGATAAGAATAGAAACACAGGAGTGAGAAAGCGGCAAAGGAGCCTGCCCGGGGATGGCTGGAGCACATCAGGCTGAGCGGCACCCGCTGACCCAGTGCTGGCTGCGGGGAAGAGCCTGGCTGCTGCCCTCTTGCCTTGCACGATAATGTCGCTTCAGGATCCCTGTGTGCTAGGGGAGCTGGGCTTGGCGTGGTGTGGGGCGTACAGCAGCCACAGGAGCCGAGGAGGAGGGTTGGCGTGTCAGGAGATGGATGTGGGTCCAGCCTGGAGCACTGGGGATGCGCAGGAGAGCATTGCACCAGGTTTAGCATTGCTGGCTTTTGGGCACGTCTGGTTCAGGGGTCTCGGCCACGCAGCTGCGCCAGCCCTGCAGTGCTACATCTGCCCTGTTTGCTCCATGCACTCACCAAGGTCCCTTTCCTGTGGCAGGAGGAGTTTCGCCTGGAGAGGGGTCCCCAGCTGTTGGCACTGGTGGAGGATGCCTTCTCCAGACAGGCGGATGGACCGCAGGACCGCTGGCTGATCTCTCTGAGCAAACCCAATGAGAACGACAAGCACTTGCTAATGACATTGGCAGGGGAACAGGGTAAGTGCTGGGAGAAGGAGCCTTCCTGTGATGGGGGGGTGTATTTAAGGGGCTCTCAAGTGGAGGTGCTCAGCCATGTTGGAAGGAGCTTCTGCTCTCCAGTCCGTTTCAATCCCGCAAGTTCCCCGTGTTAGCTAGACTTGAGGGATGGAGGGGGACTGAGGACATAAGACCCTTTTTCTTCACATCTGCCTTCTGGCTTGCCCCTCACCGCTTGCATGAAGCTCCGTCTTCTGCGCTTTGCCTCCTGCTTTGCTCCCTCCCTGGATTGCCTTCACTTGAGCAACCATCAGCTTTATCCCAGTGCTTATATACTCCCTCCCATGGGCAGGCCACTGCAATGGCAGCACATGAGAGCCTGCTCTTAGTTCACTTCTTAACGCTTCTTAAGTCTTGTCTGAACTGGGCCAGTCCTGATAGTGCCTCCCCTGCATCCCCAAAGAAACAAAAGCTGACAGTGAATGGTGGGCTGGAACATTTTACCATCTCTTTAATCCCCTTTTGGTAGGGGGGTGCTTTTCCTGTACTGCTTGTGCTGCCTGCTTAGTGACAGAGGCCTCTAATGTTGACGTTATGGCCTATATGGAAAAAGAACCCAACAGTATTCTAAAATGCCCCACAGTGATAGGAAAAGAGAGCTAACATTGAAGTGGCATTTGCTGTATCAATGCCTTAAATCATTGCATCTCTCTCAAGCCCTTGGGCTGGAGCATGTGCCAGTGAAAAGGCTTTGGTGAGCATTTGGTCTTCTAAATGAAAACCTTCATGCTGTCATGAGACAGAACATCCCCCTTCCTGGAGAAGAAAACAGGTCTGACCTCCAGAAGCACAGCCAGGCTGGGAGGTACTCCTGAGTTTAGAAACCTCAGGAACCAAAGTATTTTCTGCTCTGAACAATCAGGCTTTTTTTCAGTTCCTCTTTTTACTGCTGTGCAAGTGAAGGGAGAAATGGGCCTCAGCCTCTAAATCCTCCCTGGCTGCTCCTGTTCTCCTGGCTTGGAGAGCACCCTGGGAGCTGTTGGGGAAGGAGGGTCCCAGGCAGGGGTGGCTCAGCGTGGCCTGGTGGCTCCCTGGCTGAAGCTGTCTCCTGTTGGGAACGGAGCTGTTACAGCACAGCTCCTGCAGCCTCTGCTGTTGTGCCAGGCACACCACCTTGCCAGGGTGTCCTGCAGAGCAAAGCACATCTGCTAAAGGTTGTGATAGGTGAGCATGAATCTCTGTGGGAACATTTTGAGTGCTGCAGCTCAGGATCGAGTTGTGCTGGACAGGGAGGCTGGATCAGGCAGAATAGGCACATGCCTCCATGACTTCTTGGGTGTTGTGCTCAGTCCCAGAGCAGAGACGGATCCTGAGAGCTTCTGTGGCCGTGGGAAGGGCACCTAGGTGCCTCCGTTATCAGTACATGCTTGGATTTTTCCCCCCTTCAAAGAACATTTGGAGGTACCCTTGGTTGTGGTCCTTGCACTCTTTCAGCCTCCTAACATAACATACCAATGAACAAAAATGTGCGTTCCCCTGCCTCTGTTCTGTTGGGGATTTCACAGTGATGAGTACATCTGTCTGAGCTGAGAGCAGCACTGATCTCTCCCTCTCCTTCTTTACAGGCGTCATCCCTACAAAAGATGTTCTCACGGCACTGGGGGATGTTAAGAGGAGCTTAGCTGAGGTAAGAGCCTGTCTGCATCCGTTTGTTAAGACTAGCTATACAATTAAAATAAGCACCTTGAAAAGTGGGACCATATCTCAGTGCTGAACCCACAGCAGGCAAACAGATGAGTCAGACACTTGGCAAACTCCCTTCTCCCCTCTCCGGTAGTTGCCAGGCCATCAAACGTCTGCTCCCATTTAAGAGAGTAACTGGGTTATTCCCTCCCTGCCTCTGTGGCTTGGTTGTGAGGCTGCTTTTCACACATTCATTTTGTTGGGATACTCGGTCTCATCCCTTCTACACTATTGCCTGTGGCGATGCGGGTGCTGCAGAGCCTCAGATTTGGCCCTGCTCACCCTACAGCTGATCTACCTACGTTGGGTGCTCAGGCTTTGCTGAAGGAGGTGGGAGAGGTGCCTGTACCAGATGGGACACGTTCACACACCTTCCTGCAATCCCGGAGTCTGCATTTCCCTCCGTTAGACAACTGCCGACACAAGGGCAGGCAGAGGACCAGAGGCAATGGACGCCAGACTCCACTGCCAGCTGCCTCTAGCCCTCGTGTGTTCCCCTCTAACCCTGGACAGCTTGGAAGAGGGTAAAGATGAAGGCAAGTTAGTCCCATGATCTCTGGCTTTGCCCCTTAGGCCTATGGGATATGTAGGCACTGAGGGCCTGATTTGGCTTGGATTTTTTACACTACTGCAGTAATTCTGTTGACTTTAGCAGCAGAGTTGTGTCATTGCCTTGCTGGCTGCCTGCTCTCAGGTTTTTCCCTAACCTAACAAACTGGTGCAGTTACACAAAGCAAATTAAGTGCTCAGTGCTGTATTGATTGGCTTACACTAGAGAAAGTATGAAAAGCCAACCTTGTAGAAATTGTGTGACTGAAGTATCGGCAGCTAGAACTGTCCAGAAAGAAGGATTTGTGTTGGTGCAAGGTTTGACTTTTTTGTGCAACTGTGACCCTACGTTAACGTGCAGCCTCGCTACCTGCCTCCAACTCTGCGGCTCTATCAGTAATGAAACACTACTCATTGCACTGACCTTGCGCTAGCACAAGCTTGGAAGGAGGAGGGAGGATATTCTCTTACACCCGTCATACTTACTATTGAGTTGATGTGTAACCTGTTTGAAATCTGCCAAGTCACTGGGACCGATGTTGGGCTTTGTAGGCTCACAACCACTGGGGGCCCATTTCTAGGGCAGCTGTTCCTAAGCTTTTTGCATCAGCAGGCAGCTGTCCACTTTCAAGATCTCAGACCACTATGCCCTCTTAGGACCAGAGCTTTAATGGAAACGTATTTGTTATGGTTACATTTACTGTCAAACGGCCACCAAAGCCTCAGCACCCATCAGTGGTCCATACTTTGTCTTGGGAACTCTTAATCTTGGGCAGTTTCTCCCATGAAAGCCTCCTTGTCTTGCACATAGGTGTGATCCTTGTGCAGGCAATCAGGATAAGATTGTGCCTACTGTCATTTGCTGACGTGTCAGCTTTCGTGGAAGATGGTGTTAATTTAGTTATGTGCCTTCTAGTCATGTAAGACAGTGTGCATCCTGACTCCCCAACCCTGGCTTTTAGTTCCTCTGCCCACAGTGATGGTCCTGTACCTGGACCCTGGAAAGTTTGAACAGGATCCCACCTGACTGCAGTGTACCCCTTTCTTCCTTCCAGATTGGCATCCAGAACTACTCAACCACCACAAGCTGCCAGTCGCACCCCAACCAGACACGCAGCGATTATGGGAAACTCTTTGTGGTACTGGTGATCATCGGCTCCATCTGTGCCATCATCATTGTATTGGGGCTCATATACAACTGCTGGCAGAGACGCCTGCCCAAGATGAAGAACATGGTGAGCACTGGACGGGTGGAGAAGGTGGCTAGACTCTTAGCCCTTGGGATGGAGGGGATTGGAAAGTTAAGAGGGAGATTGTTTTCCCCTGTCCACTTACTGGACGTAGCTGGATACATTGCTGGAGCAGCAGGGGAGCCCATTCTGGCATAAGAGAGGTGCAAACCTGTCTCTTGCTGTGCTCAGGACAGCTCGTTACTGCTGCGAGGGCTGGGCTTGGATTAAATTTACCTTTTCCCACTGACCCTGCAAAGTCCTCGGTGACCCTTATAGCCTGGTCTGATTGTGCTTCTCAGCAGCATTAAGGCCTGTCCTCCTTTGTCTCCGTATTTTGCAGTCGCACGGCGAGGAGCTGCGCTTTGTTGAGAACGGCTGCCATGACAACCCCACCTTGGATGTGGCCAGTGACAGCCAGTCGGAAATGCAGGAGAAGAAGCCAAGCGTGAACGGTGGAAACACCATCAATGGCCCCGACAGCTGGGATGTCCTGATCAATAAGCAGGCGAGCGAGGATGTGGATGTGTTTGAGGAAGACACGCATCTTTAGAAAAAGAAGGGAGGGAACCACCCCCTTAAATGCATTTGTCTCTCTCCTGTCTTGACTGATGGACCACGGGATCAGGTGGCTTCTAGGAACTTCTTAAAGGCTTGGGACAGGTCAAGTCTTTGGGCAAGTTTTCCCGATAGAATTCCTGAGCCTGCGTCTGAGGCTTGGAGCCAGGAGGATCACTGAACAGAGGGAAGTGGGAGGGGTGGGTGTGTAGGTCTCTGTGTGTATTCCTATCAGTAGCACCAATGCTTTCATCACCTTTAAACGCACTTACTGTAGCTCTCTGGTAGTGGCTGAGAGTGGCTGGTCTTGAGAAGCAAGGCGGTGGGGCTAAGTCTGCCACCAAGAGTCCTGCTTTTGGGAGTAAATTCACTTCGGGAGTCCAGCTGGAGCTACGGCAGCCAGATCCTGACCTTGAGATCATGTCCAGTCCCTGCAGGTGCAGTAAAACCTGTGCATTCTGGATGGAGGGGAGCCAAGACTCAGTGTCCTGGGCAGAGTTTGTGTTCCAGGTGTGAAAAGAGGGTTTGTTGTTTGGTTTTTTTTTTTTAGTGCTCTAGCATTCAGCTGCTAATTAGATGGGCTGATGTTTACATCTGGGGAAGACATCCCTCTGTCATCTCATTTCCCCCCTCACACCACAAACAGCCCCACTCCCTTTTTCAGCTCCACAGCTCCAAGCCGAGTTTGCAAAGTGTGAGCACTTTACCCTTGCTTGACCGATTGCAGAGAATTCAGTGCCATGGTGCAGCATCTTAGCTGGAAATTTGCTTTAGGTTGGAGAGTTGCTCAAAAAGGCCATTTACCCACCTCTTTCCCACAACAGCCTGTGAAATCAGCAGCAAAGTATCCCTTAAGTCTCAGTTCTAGACTGGCAGGCCTTCCCCGCTCCTGTTTTCCAGGATAGTTTGGTTTCAGTTGGTCTTTTTCAGGTAAATGTAAAGACTATGTGAGACTTTTTAAACAGGGAGAAAAGTGAAAACTCAGAAACATAATTTTCTCATCCTTTTATTTCCTTTTCGGCATCCTGCCCTGAGTGGGGGGAAGTGTTTATGTCCCGTAGGTGTAAATCGGGGTAACATCTTTAAAATCACTGCACTGAAGCAAGCGTAAAAGCCAGTTCAGATGAGATGAGAGTCAGATCTAAGAGTTCCCCAATGAACGTTTCTCAGGCACGCCTCAGGCAACTTTGAGGCTCCAGCTCCCTGAAGAGGTGTGGTAAAAGGCACGTGAATATGCATAATTGTTCTCTGAGCCCTGCCTAAACCGAGACTCGGAACTACTGTCAAGCCTGAAATCCCAGAACATTTGTTTCCTCTGTCATCGAGGGATTGAGGGACTTGCTTCGGTCAGAGGCAACAGTTGTCCTCTCTGTTACGGTGATCTGCATGCGTGCTTACTGCAAGATGCAGCTTCGCATTTGGTCTTTAAGGGACCCTTTGTACAGAAAGACCCCAGATATGCAGCCTGATGCCGAGCCTGTAAATCTATCCCTGTATGTATAGATATTTTTAGCATGTTCCTCCCTGATGTGAGTGCCTATAGTCAAGGTACAAGAGTCAGTTGGTTCATTTTGCATAGCGCTTTGCATACAAACTGAATCACAGATCACCTCGATGTAGGACCACGTTGATATTGGTCTATTAGGGATTCAGGAAAGGTGACAGCCTTTGGTTTCCTATCCAGATTCCAATTTTCAGTGTTTTTTATCGTGCCTCCATACCTTTCCCCGTGTTAAGTAGGAGACAGTGACCGTCAGCTCCATTTGTATCTTGTTGGTAGGGTTGCAGAGATGCTCAGAGGAGTCCCCTCTCCTGCCCCAGCAGTTGGTAGTGGGGGACAGTCCGTGTACGTGGACTGCCACTGTGGCTCTTCTCCCACCCCCCGCGATGATGGCTCCTGCTGAGTTTGATGGGTCTGTGCAGTGAAACTGCATACGTTCAGTGGCTGTGTTGATGGCACTTTGGGACTCACGGGATTAAATGCAAGTTGCTGTTCAGGTGAGTAAATTAAAGCATGAAGTTAAAAATTGAGTTTGTATAGCACTTAGCATAACGGGGCCTGGCTTGGCCAGGGCCTTTAGGCAGTTTCACCATATAAATGTTTATAAGTCCAATAATCCTCATTAAATATGTTTTTAATGCCCCGTGGCTATTAAAAAGATAGTGCCACCAATCAGATGTGAATCAGTTCACCCACAAAACACTTCCTTGCTGCACTTCATTGCTAGGAGCTGCTTCGCTGCCCTGTTTTCTATCCAATTCACTAATTCAGAGAAACAACAAGGTGCTGATAAAGCAACGCTTCTGGCTGGGCTCAGCACCTGCTGATCTAATGTAAAGTTTTCAAACTTTAAAGAAATCAAGGGGGCTATGCAGGCCTGTTAATAAGCTAGCAAGTTCTCTTGATTTGTTCTTCTGGCTTCTTGTGGCCTGAAGGTTTTCCAGAAACTGTAGAGCTCTCTTCTGTGTCCGGAGCATCCAGGCGATCTTGAGACTGTCTAAAGGTGGCTGTCACGAGGCTGACAACAATTTTGTGCTGTCTCTGACAGGGTGCACCTGGCCGTATGATCTCGGTTTAGCTCCAGGAATCTACTGGTTAATAGCATTTCACTTTAGTCTGGTAATACTTTTTATACCTTTACCATTTGTTCTTGCTCCGTATCGGGTTTTTTTGCACTAGGCTGATCTTGTTAAGTCGATTGCACTGTTGTCCCTCTCCCGCCAGCCTTGCAGAGACGGGTCATCTCTGGGGACCTGCGGGCTGGGGACCACTGTAGAGAGGCTGTTGGTAGCCCACTTAGTCTGTTGGTCAGTGCTTGGGTTTCCAGCTCTGCACAAGGAGGATTTAAAGAGGAAGAGAAACTTTGTCTTAGCATTTGTAACAGGAAGCTTTTCTATCACCTTAATGTAGTTAAACTTCTTTTTAACAAAAACTGTCCAAGCTGGACTTCTCAGAGCGGTGTGCCAGGCGACAGAGCAGATGCAGGAGACAAAGTGATTCCTGGAAAACTCTTTTCGACCTACCCGGGCTTCGCTGTGGTCCCATCTGCCAAACGTTTGATCGCACTGACACCTGGTGGCTGCCGGGATTTGGAGATGAAAAGTGAAGAGGAAAAAAAAAAAAAGGACTTTTTTTCCCCCCTCTCTTAGCTCTGGGTATTTGTTTCCTGTGACTTGCCTAGGACAGTCCCCAGCTTTATTTACGAGGGGCTGCTGGACTCGCCTGTGAGCAGAGGGGCTCATAGCAGGCACATAAGGGATGGTTTGTGTGAGGACGTCCCTGTCTGCGAAGCAATGAGATGGGACGTTCCCTGGAGTCACCCGGTCTAGAGGCCCTGGGTAGCAAAACAGGGTCTCGGCTCCATCTCCCTGCTTTCTCCTCCACTTGCCCCCTCTCCTCCCGGGGAGCATAGCCAGAAAGCAGAGGCTCTGGCTTGAAATGGAGGTGGCTCTCCAGAGAGAGCATCGTGCGCCAGCGTGAGGAGCTCCGCGTCCTGGGGAACACTGGCGATGGCATCGGCTGGATGCACGGCCAAGATCAGAGTGGCTCTCCATCTCTGTGGGACGGTGGCCAGATGTGGTCTGGGATGGCCAAGCTGCAGATTACTCCCAGATGTTATCCAGATGGCTAGAACAGCGCCTGTGATGTGGAGGCCAACCCGTGCTGGGACTTTGCGTCCTGCAGACCACCTCATGGTATGTAGGGTGTAAAGAAACAATGAGAAGCGACCTGGTAGCTGTGCTGCGGGGTGTGTAATGCAGGTTGAGAATACAGTTCAAGATACCCCCTTACGGATCCCTCTGGGCAAAGGATGCGTTGTGAAATGGAGGTACATCATCGTATGGATTACTGCTGCGATGCTCCAAGGTCACACTGCGAGATCCCGCTGTTCCCGTCCACCTTCGCAGCCACGCAGGAGCACCTCTCCCCTTCGCCGAGGGTTTGGGGCAGCTCGAGCAGAGACAGCAAGCGCCTTCCTCCATGCTGGCTCACGAGAGCCTCGTGGGCTCATCTCGGCTGACAGCCGGGCTCCCAGCCCTTCTTCTCAGCGCCCTCGTTCCTGCCAGACCTCAGCTGTCTGCAAGCCCTGGCCACCGCTCGGCATTGCTGCCGGAGAACACTTAGAAACACTCGTGTCTGGCCCTGGAACCGACAGGGTTGTGGGTTTGTTTTCTTTGCAATAAAACGCACCTCCTGGGTGTCTGAACACTGACCCGAGCCGAGTCCTGTGCGTGGGCGCCTCCGCCTGAACTCGCCTCTGCTGCCCTGTTAATGGGGGCTGGCTGGGGTCCCTCTGCCGGGCCGGGGGGCGGCCAGTCTCGTGCTGCAGCAGCCCTGAGCCGTGCCGGGGCTGTGGGAAGCTGGCTCCTCCCGTGGGGTGACAGTCCGGTCCCGTGGGGTCCCCCAGGGCCAGCCCAGGACCCCCATTCCCTGCTGGGGAATTCCCCTGTCCCCGGGCAAAGCCCCTGTCCCCGAGCAGAGCCCTCGCATGCGTGCACACCCCCGTGCCCCCCACCAGCTCCCCCCATCCCACGCCTGCTCCAGCGCTGGACCCCACGCCCGTGGTCCAGAGCCCTCCGTGTGCTCCAGGACCCACCCCCCCCCCCCCCCCCGCACCCCTGCCAAGACTGGCTGGCTTCAACACCCTGCGCTGCCCTGGCACAGCTTACGTGCACTGTGGAGCTCCCAGCAATGGGCAGAGCCTTCTAGGCTCTCCCAAACCCCACCCTGCACCAACTGATTTACTGACCATCATCTCAGCTTGAGCCTTTCCCCCATGGACCACCAGCCTGGGGGAGTTTCTCTTAGGAGCCCACCTGCAGGGCTGGGCTGAGGAGGACACCAGGGAGAGCCCCACAATGGGGCAAGGAAGCCTTCACCTTCAGGAGCCCCAAGCTGGTGGGTCAGGGGGAGAAGGGGTGGGGAAGGCATCCCACTGTTTTCCCTCCATCCCTCCAAGGGAGATGGCTGAGGTGGCTTCACCTCCTGCTCACCCATCGCCCTGAGCTGCTGTCATAGCAACACACGCTCTGATTCAGGAAGGAATGGGTACTTCTGCTTGTTTAACCAAGGAGGAGGCAGCACCCTGGTATTTTGAACAGGGAAGGAGGAGGGGAGCAAGCGAGACAATCAGCACAGGAGCTCACAGAGAGGCTGACTTGGACCTGCACAATGTGCAGTCTGCAGCCTCCTGCCACCTGGAAGAGGGGTGCAATGATCAGCCATTTCACTTCTGCTCCTCATGGCTGGCAAACATGCTCACGGGGATGGTGACACTGTCCCCACGCCACACCAAGACCCCACATGAAAACACAGGTGGTAGAGGGCTTGAGCTCCACAGGACAAAACTGGGACTGAGCATCCACCAGTCTGTATGACGTGCTGGGTTGGTGCTCAGCACCAACCTTCCCCTCCAAAGGGGAGACAGCGGCCTCCGGCAGCCTGGGGCCTCGGCAGGGCAGCCGCCGTGCCGGGAGACAGCTGGGGTGCGAAAAGGAGAGCTGCTTTCTCTATAAACAAACGCGCCTGGCTCTTCCCCCAAGGGAACTGGACGTGCGCTGAGTCTTTGCTAGCGGTCTTAGGCTTGCGTAAGGTCTGCCTGTTTTCTTAAAATTCGGGCACCTGAGCGTCAGGCGGTTATCGCGTGCTTGGCTGGTATGAACGCTGTCTGTGGCAAATGTCCTTGCAGAAGTCTCTTCTCAGCAGCTGCTCGTTTTCTACTGTTGGAAACTGTATTTGCGTTGGTAGGAAGCTAGATCTCTGGAAAGTAATCATCGTGGAAATATTTAGCCACCTTGTGCTGTAGACTGCAGTGGTATCTCTGAGAAATGCCGGGCTGCTTAATTTCAGGTCAAGTCTCCTGGCTCAGATGGAAGCAGCGTGGCTTAGCTGCAGCGATTTCAGATCAGGAGGCAGACGGGGCTGTTCTCTGCAGGGTGAATGGATGTTGTAACGCAAAAGCCTGGTGTTTCCAACAGACTCCTCTGTGCATCTCATGGCCTGAGTCTAAGAACGCTCTTCACCTCCTGATCCTACTTGATTCTTTCAGCTCCCAATGTGTGGATCTTCCCAGATAATCAGAAGGAGCCTCTCTGTTTCAAGGTGCTCGCTAACGAAGGATAAATAGGCAGATAGATGAGGTCTGGGGAACGTTGTTACCGGTTGTGTATTCGTGCTGGATTAATTCATTGCAAACAGTAAATTGCAGGTTCACTATAGAAGGAGGGGCCCTGCAGGTGGCCGTGCAGAGGTTTAAGATGACTAGCATAGAAGCCATAGTGGAGAAATGATCGGTCTGGGAATGCTGTGAAAGCAGAGGAGACAAATCAACCACATGGGGCTGAGTAGAAAGGAGCTGAGTTGCTTGGGATTTCGAAGGTGGTCAGGGGAACCTGAAGTTTGAGACTGATGGAGGGAGTGAAAGTGGGGACTGATGTGGTGGCTGAGGAAAAACAAAAAAAACCGTTGAGAATCTCTGTGAAGGCTGAGGGGGACTTTTACTTGTGGTGGGGAGAGATGGTTGTTGCAGTAGTTGAGGACAGGCTATAACAAGAGCCAGGCTGTGCAGGAGATTTGTGTGCAAAGCAAAGGCTGGCTTCTAGAGCTGCCAAAGAGGGAGCGTTGGCAGCATTTGATATAGCCTAAATGTGCGGGACAAGGAAGTGGCAGGAATTAAGAGGAGTCTGGAGTGACACCGATGTTGTTACCTGTGGCAAGAAAAGCCGCAAGCAGGATGGGAGTCCAACCTTGGCCTTGTAAACTTGGCGACTTCTTTGTAAGCATCCAGGCTGTGAGCATTGTTGGAGAATGCAAAGGTACTGCTGAAGCGCTCAGGCTTCTTTTGTGATTGCTGCCCTGTTAGGGGTCAGCAGGAGGTGGGTTTGATTCCCCTCTTTCCCCATGTGCACCACTTAAGATTGAAGGGAGCTGCCGAGCCAGCTGCAGAATGCCGTTCTTTGGGTTGAGGATTTGACTGATGCCCCTTCAGCCACAGCTGACAGCTCCCCAAGTCAAATGCAAGATCTTGTCATACCTTTGGAAGTTACTGTATAAACTCAAAGTTGCATCTTTTGAAAGAGGAGAACGTGACTGAGTGAGTAGCTGCATGAAGTTATAACTTCGCTCTCCCTTTTCTTCCAGATACCTTCTTGAACAGCGAGATGTGGAAATTAATGTCCGTGATAAATGGGACAGTACACCTCTGTGAGTCCTGCAGCCTAGAGCGCTGGCTGGGCGGGAGGGGAAGGCTTTCAGAGCTCTTTTGCTCTCTCTGCGTCGGCAGCTAACAGCGCTGTTACAAAATGTCCCAGGTTCTGCTTTTTGAGGGATTTGGCTGTGTATTTCTGCTTCTCTTGTCTGTGGGTGCTGTGCTAAATATGTCTTTGTCCCCCCGTCTGACTGACGTTTGCTGTAGTAGTGCTCAGAAGGGTGGCTAATTTTGTGGCCAAATTACCTGGATTAAGCAGTCTGTTCTTGGCCTCGTTAGGTTTTTTCCTCCTCAAAGTCTAAGGCATTCTAGCATGTCTTTTCAGGTGAAGGCTTGGCTTGGTGAAATGCAAAGTGACCGTGGGATCACAGTCTGACTGGCAAGGCCGTGAACGTGCAGTAGGAAGCGCGGAATCCCCATGCTGGTGCTGAGGAGGGTGGTGTGAGCTTTTTACCTCCCCACGTACCAATTCCAAAGTGCATTTAGACAGTTGCAGTATATTTAGAGTACGGAATAACTTCCCAAAGTAAGGGTAGACTAATATTTGCTCGCTGCAATGCACGTTACAGGATTCTCCTAGTCTGTAGGACAATTTGAGGTCCTTGTAAAAGAGAATCATGAAAGGGTTAGATTATGAAAGAGAAAATGAAACTCATCGTAAGTAGGACTTTGAGGGTGGATTTGCTGTACCTCCAGTGTGGGTGCTGTTCCCTCGTTACTGTAGCGTGCAGCAGTCAGACTGGCAACAGAAGGAGCAAGGAGCGTTTCTGAGATTTCAGTAGAATTGCTTAGTACCCGTGAAATGACCTCCATTAAAATGACGATGGATTTGGCAGCTGGGTGCAACAGAAGATGCTGAACCCAGACTGGCACCTTGAGATCTCCTTGCAGGACAGGGTGCCTAGGAGTGCTGGGAACAGACCCTGCTTACTCTGCTGCTGGGGTCAGGCTTCTGTGCTATTCGGTAGCAATTCCTCACTCCGGTGAGGAGTCATCTTCTAAGCTTATCAGGGGTGGCTCAGTGCTGAGGTCTGCATGCTGCTGTGTGCCCAAATTTTGCTTCTTACTGTATCTCTAATTTTCTTTCTCTTGTTATTGTCAGGTATTATGCTTGCCTCTGTGGACATGAGGAGCTTGTACGCTATCTTCTAGCCAATGGTGAGCAAAAGTGTCCTGGTTATGGGTGCAATATCTTTCTCCATACTGGTCCGTAGGGATTGTATATCCTTCTAGCTGTCCCTTGTGGAAACTACTTCTGTTACAACCAGCTGGCGATCTCAGGCTGCAGTGGGAGCCCCGGACACACTTTTGTGGTCCCTTTTGCAGGCCATTTGCTGCTTGAATTTGCTACAGGAGAGCTTTCTGTGATGACTCGAGGCAGCATGACTTTCTGAAATCAGAGCTGATGTTTTGTGAGGGTGAATTGCTGTTGGGAGTATGCTGATGTAAGAATTGTACTTCATCTGAAGAACTGTCTGTGTCAAACTTTCTTGTACTCTTCTGATAGCCTTGCATTGTAAACAGGTCTTAAAGATGAAGTGCAAGGGCTTTTACTAACCTCAAACAAAGCAAGACAAACTCTCCAGGCAAAGTGCCTGCCCGTTTGGTTTCCAGCACCCAAATTCCCTTAGGCAGTGGTGATGTTCTCTGTGCTGGCAGAGGAATCGGAGTGCAGGGTCAGAGCTCAAAAGGCTTGTCTCTACCACTGCATTCAGAGCATCTTAATCAACCACTTGTGTAATTCTAAAATAGCAAAAGGCAAGTGCCTTCCAAATTTCTAGCAGAGTCTAACCTAAAGAGGCATCTCTTGCCTTGCGCAAGGCAGAAATGCTTTTTAGGAGGAGCTGTTAAAAGTCCAATAAGCAATCGTACTCTTTGTACAGTGAGGTTCTTCTTCCCAGAAGGCTGCTGGAGCCGTGCTGAGAGGTGTATTACCAGGGTCAGTTTAAATGAGTCACGACTTCTTCAGAAAGGGATTTTGCTGTGGGAGAACAGCTTTAGGTTATATACATGTACGGGGAGCTTAGTTTTTTGTAAATATGCTCAGTAGCATAGGGGATCACAGTGAAACATGTCACCAGCCAAAAGTCATACTCGTTTAGCGACCGTTCGGGGACACTTGTCGGGGAAAGATGTGACTCTGCCTGCTGGCATGTACCTGTGATCGTTTTGCAGGAGCGAAATGTGAGGCAAACACTTTTGATGGGGAACGTTGTTTGTATGGAGCTTTGAGTGATGCCATCCGACGCCTGCTGAAGGAGTACAAACAGATCACGGCAAAGTGCATGAAGAGAGACTACTATGATGTCTTCCTACAGCGGTAAGCAGAGGAGGCAGCTCCATGTGCAATGCGTTCTGTCATCCTTCCTTAGCTGTTAACCTGGATGTTCAAGCTCTCTGTTCAGGGCAGATTTGAAAGGCAACTCATCAGTACCCTATCTCATTCCTGGGCATGTAGAGCTTCCTAAGGGATGTTCCTTTGTGCCTTAAGGGATGGCTTCCAGATATGTGTGCATTTAAAATATAGCCTCCAGTGCCGTAGGTACAGACTCCAGAGCCAACAGAAACATGGTCTTTATGATGCAGAAGCATTAGACTGTCATCCTTTACTGTCAAACCAAAATCAGATCACTAAAACCACATCAGGGATTTAGGAGATGTCAACTGAAATTAAGTTTCAGGCCTGAAGTGCTATAGCCTATGAGCCGAGGTTTCCAGCAGTGGTAACAGGTGTCTCATTTCTGAGATAGAGCACCTTGAGAAGCCTCAAACTGACTTACATGGACAGTGCTCAGTTCTTTCTTTTTATTCATTAAAATGTGTTAATTTTAAGAGGTTTCTGAAAGTTGCCTGTCACACCTTGTAGTCTTAGCCTAGAACTTAAGAAGCCTAACTTGCTCTAGGAGTAGAGGAATAGTGTCAATCTTTTTTTCTTGCTGTTTTTTTACCCTGGTAGTTCTGATGTTATTACACAGACTTGGTTTTTTGTGTGGATTGTGGGTTGGTTTTTTTTTTTTTTTGTTCCCATTGAACTGAATTAAAAAACAAAAAACAAACGAACAAGGTTTCAGCATCTGTATCTTCAAAATCAGAGAGCAAATAAGTCCTAGAAAGATCTGACATCTTCCCATGACTACAGAGTCCTAATTTCTGAAGCTGTGGGGAAAGAGGGGAGGAAGGAAACTCATTTATCTGAGTAAAATCACATTCTGCCTTTCAGGGAAGTATAATTTTGGAGGGTGATCTATCACTTCCCTGGTGAGTTTGTGACTCAGGTGATGCAGTTGAGCGCACATGAAAACTAAAATGTGCTGTTTTCCACTTCTCATTCCAAACAGACCTTGTGTTAAAATTGAAACAAAGGGCAACAGCAGGGGGCAAAAAATAAACACCTAACTCCTCCTATTTTGTTTTGGGCGAGACGCTAGTAGGAAGGATGTTGTAGTGGCAGGAGACAGAGATCAGCATTCAAGACCCTGCTCTGACATCACCTCCTTGTGTGACCCCACACCTTTCTGTGCACCAGTCCTGCTCTCTAGAAGGAGTATGATGCCTGATGTCTGCCTGATTTGACCTCTTGGGGATGTTTGTGAGAATATACATGCAAGGGGTGGTGGACATTAGGAAACACCGGTGATGGTTGCCGTAAACTCTAGAAGTAGCAATCTCGGTTTTTTTCCTTCTAAAGAATGAGGGTATGACCATGCAATCATAAACAAGGCTTCATCTCTGATGTGGTAATTGCCTGCATTTCATGCCTGTAACATCCTTCCTTCTTCTGAGGATGAGTGACATCAAATCCTCTCCTATTTGCTGCATGGTTAAAGTGTGCACGCTGACAGCGCCCAGAGAGCAGGAAACTTGCACCTTACTTTGTGCAAGTGGGGTAATTCTTTTTGAAAGTGTATGCTTCTGTAGGGCTTTTTGTCATCCGACAATTTAAAAGCTGGATTAACCTTTAGAGATGTGTTTGGGGGCAACTAGTTCCTCTTTAAAATCTGTTCCCTGTGTTCAGCGGTTCACCTGAGTCCGGAAGGCTTCATTCTCCAGCCTTCCTCTTGCACTAATGAAACTTCTTTGAGTCATTGGAGGGAGTGAGAGATCCCAGGCTAGTATGTGAAGTACCAGCCCCTGTGCTGCCCTTCGAACTGGGCAGGGAGAGACTGCCTTGTCCAGGGGTATGTGTTCATTTAGACCTAATTGTCCATGTCCCCCACTAGCTTTACTCCATTCTCTCCTTTCTCATTCTGCAATGAATTTCCCCTCTCTTTGTTCCGTACAGGTTGCTGGAGCAGGGTTACCAAAGCGACATCGTTTTCATTGTTCATGGCAAATCCTTCTGTGCCCACCGCTGCATTCTCAGTGCTCGCAGCGCCTACTTTGCGGAAATGTTTGAGACCAAATGGAAGGGAAAGAACATGATAGTGTTGAAGCATCCACTGGTGAGCAAGGCTGTGCTTCCAGCTCTTTCCTTTTTTTCCCTGTTTCAACTGGGTGAGAAAAGTGAGTAGGAAGGACAGTTTGAGGGCTAACTTCCACAGTGAATAGCTCCTGGAGCTCAGAATGAGCCTGGTCAAGGCGAGGGGCTTGTGGAGGCACCTTATGCAGTAAAATAGCATCTTATTTGGATAACAAAAGGCTGTAGACTGCGTACTTCCCCTTTGTTCCCTCTGTCATGGGCTCGAACATATCTTAATTAATTGCAGTAGCAGGTAGCTGTTGCCATCTGCCAGCTGCATCGTGACTCCTCTGTGGGATGAGTTGAGTCTCTCTAATTCCTGGTGGCCAGGTGGTCTGTGGTGAAGACATCACCTCTGTAATTGGCACTAATTGAGTCCCTTTTGTTGCCTTCGCAGCAAGAACTAAATAGGCCATAAGTGCGTTCCATCCGTTAATCACCAATACTCTGGCGTACGTTTCTGTAGCTCGACTGTGGCTGTGCAAAACCTCTCATGACAAACATACTTCCAGTTTCTCAGGACATTGCTTAATGTCTCTCCTTTCTCTTTCCTCTCAAATTAAGAAGAGTTGGAAATGTTTGCAACCAGTGAACGACTGGATTTTACGGACCCCGTATTACAAACGTGTCTTTGGAGCACGTCCATTAGTCAGGTCCTGTCCCCCTAGGCACATGGATTACTATCGGTTCATACATTTAAAGAGGTGTGTAAGCCAGGTGGAGTGGCAACGTTAGTTACGCAAGGAGCAAGGAAATCGGGTGCAGTGTGTGAGTTGCTATTTAAGTGGGTTTTTTTTTGACTTGTTCAGGATCAGGTTTGTATTCAGGCAAGCTTCAAGCTTGTTATTAAGTTCCTGGGAATTCTAAAGGTAACTTTCTCATGTTTTATTTTAGATTAATCCAGCAGCCTTTGGCTCTCTTCTGCAGTACCTATACACAGGTAAATTACTTGCTGTCTAGTGTATGTGTTCGTGGCTGGTGGGCAGCTCTCTGTGCCTCTTCTGTAGCACTGTTTTGGTGGCACAGGCTTGCAAACAGCCGTGTTTGGGTGCATGAGTCGCCGACACATCCTCTCTGCTGGCAGAACGGGAGAATGTGAGCAATCCCTCTCTCTTCCAAGATGTTTTGTACCTTTTGTCAGTTGTTGTCCTGCCAATAACTATACAGTCAATTAAAAAAAAATCAGCTTGGCTTGATTGGTTAGATGGATGTGGAGAATGTATTTTTAACTTAAGGAAGGTAAATCTGTCGTCTGGGATAACGGCCCCCTGAGCTGGTGAAAAGCCAGGTTCCCACGTAGGACGTTTCCAGTCTGGCAGACCTGAGCAGTGTGTGCTGAATGATTTGATTACTTTCTAATATTTTTTTTCTGGACAGAAGTTGATCCTAAACCTTCTATGAAAATGCCAAATGTTGTATTGTATGCATGCTAACTGCTGAACTATTTCAGGCCAGGAGGTGGTGCCAGAAAATAACTTTATCTTCAAGGCTCTCCTTCCCCAGTCCAGTGTTTTCAGAAATGTTTCTCACCATGTTTTCAGTGGTGGTAGAAGATTCTGGGATGCCAGCTTGTGAGCCTAAAGTCTTTTCTCACCCTAAGCCAGATAGCCAGTGGTGGCAGTCATGCATGCTGCTGTTGTGCTGTTCTTTTGTTCTTTTCTGAGGGAATTAAGACATCTTTTGTATAAGCCTGTTTGCTCTTTGGCCTCTTGAATGAAGCTGTGAGGGTAGACACTGGAAGGTGGGAATGTGAATGAGATGCCAGACTGAGATCCATCGAAGTGGTGGGCAGTGGGGTACCACGTCTTAGCTTCTTGGACTGAATTGTAACTGGATGCTGAGAAGTGAGGCGATGTGTCTAATTACTGAATTTCGGTGTCATCAAGTCTTCAATCCCTGATTTGCCATTTTTACACCTAAGTGGTATGGGTTAAAAGAGCTGGCTGCATTTCTCCTTGCAGGTCGTCTTGATATCGACGTAGAATATGTGAATGATTGCAAGAGGTTGGCCAAGCAGTGTCGGCTGCAGGACCTCATAGACGATTTGGAGACCAAATGTAAAAAAGTCTATGAATTCGGTAAGCATTTTCCTTGCTGTTGTCTCTGCTGTGCCTCTGTGTCCTTTCAGGGAGAAAGAGGAAAGTGTGATGGTGGATGTTTCATGGTGCTCTTGCGGCTTCCAGAAAGTGATTCTGTTGTGGAATTCCCATCTTTGCATGATAGTTTTCAGTTGTGGGCTCTCTGTAGGGCAGCTGTAGTGGTTTCTGACACATGCATGTTTATCATTTATATTGAATGTTTTCATTATAGTGGAGCAGCCATGGCAGCAGGACTTTGCTGTGGTTGCCAGACATCCAGTGGAGCACTGTGGGGTATATTGAGAAGTGTCTTCCAGCAGAGAGCTTGTTTAAATCCCTGGGGAGATATAATATGTACAATTAAAAGCCCTTTTCGGCATTTATCTGACCCCTAACCAAAGTAAAACATTTGATAATTGGGTCCAAACGAATGCAGAGATGTAACGTTTTTTAAGAGCAGAGAAGTATTTCTGAATGCACATGTGTATTTATAACACATGTATGTGCCAAACCTTAAATGATGCAATCCTCTATTTAAGGGCTTTTTGTTATCCAAAGAGCTTGTGATCTAATCATGACATCAGCTTATTGCACAAAAACCAACAGTTGGAGTTTATCATTCATCTCCTTAGTTCAAGTGAAAGGACACGTGAAGAAGAATCAAAACAGCACAAGCAGGGCAAAGCGGTGTTAGTCATTAAGCAAAAAAAAAATGATATGGTAACAAAACCTTCAGGCTGAAAACATCTGATTCTCATTTCATGCTCTGAGTTAACTCCTTTACTTCAGTCAAGTCAATTTTGGTTTGAGAAGAGAATCTAGTCTGTAGCTTTTAGGTCAATAGCATCTTCTTTCTTGATCTGAGAGGTAAGCATGTAGCTATTCCACCTTTCCCTTTTGAATCACGAGTTCTGATTATTCAGCCTCCTGAAGTTGCAGGGCTTAACAGAAAGAGGCAATACTTCTGGCTCAAGAAATTCCTCATCTGCAAATCCCATGGAAGATATTACCGTATGCATGTCTCCCCTTAGGCACGTGCAATTGTTTGTTGGTGGTAGGGTACTAGGTTACCACAGTACAGTTGTACACCTATGTAGATCAGGGTGGAAGTCCTTATAGCATGGAAACTGTATCATAAGTTTTACCTCAGCCATGTAAACCCATATGTAAGCATGCATCTGAAGAGACGAGAAATGCATTTCTTGGTTTCTTGCTGCAAGTAGTGTAAGATATCATTTTGTGTATTAAATAAGTGGTGGAAAAGGGGAGTGGTGGTGAATACAATGACTAGAAAATAAAAACTACTCGGACAATCCAGTAACAGAATTATCTTGTGGCATCTTTTGATATCAGAGTAATCCAGTGAGGTGCTGGAGATCTTTCCTCTCCCCCACCCCCTTTTTCCCTTTTTTTCTTGTTCTTTTTTCTCTCATGGTCTAGCTCAGACCCTAGAGGTGACCATTCCGCCTTGATACATCAAGTTAAAATCTCAGATTGTGGGAGGAAAAGAAGGTGGATAGTTTGCTAGCTGGCTGAAGCCATTGCATAGTATGTCATTGGCAACCTAAGGATCCTGAAGTCCAGTGGTTAAATACATGAACTGCAAAAACACTGACTTCTTGGTGGGGTTCAAAAATGGAAAATGGTGAAGCAACGTTTCAGGTTGGTTGGGAGTTTCAGATATGAGCTCCACTTGCAAACGTGATGATAAAAACTTCCTGGATGGCACCAGACAAATCATGTAATTTCTGGGTTCTTTGGGAGGGAACAGTTGTTCTTCATTTCTAAGGTCTGACAGAAGACATAATCCTTGGGTGGTGTAAAGCACTGATGGAAGTACTAGGCTTGATTTTATTTGTCACAGGTTGGATTCAAGTGAATAGACAGAACTGCTGATAGATCTGTTAAGTGTTTGTTTCTCATATCGAATCTCATGTGGAAGCCAGGAAAACTTGATTCTCCAGAAAATAATACTTATAAGAATTATAGAAGTTAAAAATTGGGAAGGATCTTAGATCACATCATGTCTGGCACTTGACAAAGCATTGCTGTTCCCTGTAGTGTGTTAGGTATCTCCACTTGTTCAAAGTGCTTTCTGTGGAATAGACAGCTGATTCAGGTCTGCAGAGCAGGGTCATGCCTTGCATCTGTATTATAAAGTTGAAATGCGCCTAATAAAACAACGTGAACACAAGCCTGTGCAGCTCCAGTGGATAATTGCAGTCTCTGCAATCTCATTATCTAGAGTTAAGCAGCATTTCAAAAGCACTTAGTATCTTGGCATGCGCAGAGAGTAGTTCAGGAAAACCCTGGAGAGGATGGCCCAGCGCCTTCTGTTGCACTTGAGACAGACTTCAGTGTGAATGCTTGCATGTTTTCCCCCACACGTATAGTGTGGCTGTAACAGGAAAAAACTGTTGCAGTGTTTGGAAGAGTTAGACAGGGTTTGTTGAAATTAAGCCATAATCCTTCCTTTAGAACTGGAGGTATTTGAAAAGAAATGCTCTGCAGTTATTCTACAAGTTTTAGGGCAAAAAGGTTGAGAGCAAGGTTTGTGATGCTTGCCTTCATAGTGGAGGCCGTGGATGTACAGAATCCATGGTTATAGCTGGTCGTGGCATTGGGAGGAGGATGTGTAAGGTAGATATCTGAGTGTGGCATCATTTTGGAAAGGTTTGGGAGTTTGGTGGGCTTTTTTGTCACTTTTATTTTTTTGTGGTGCATCAGCTCAATTGAAACAAAAGACTACAACGAAGTATTGAGCAGTGGAAACAAAGGCAGCTGATGAATTGGTGGGTGACGTTCAGTGCTATACAGCTGGGCTAGACCAGGAAGAAAGACAAAATCCACCATTCTCAACCCTAGTTGGGATTTCCCTCCAGCTCCTCACATTGTTTATGTTGCTCTTTTCAGAAAACCCTTCATTCCTACTTCTTGCAAGGAGGTGATGGTCCCTGCTGCTTGCTTGTGGCCAACAGCTTATTCCTGTTCTGTCACTTTGATTTTTATTGTTTCTGTTAGGAGAGAGTTGCTTGTGATACCAAAGGCTGTGCTCTTGGATTTGAGAGATGCAGTGTCTGAAATGTCTCATGATAGATGTGCTTCTCAGACAAATCACTGTTCTTTCATGTCACTATGAAAGTGCATAGATGCTTTGTAGATCCCAAGGGAAGAACTCTTTCTCTTGACTACTGCTGAAAACTTGCTGGGTCCATTAGTGCTTACAGAGCCTGATTGATTTGGCGACTGTTGTAATAGGCACTACACAAATATAAACGATTCTCTCTTTGAGAAAATGCACTCCGTCTTGTTTGTGTTGGTGCCAGGTCTCCTCTTGGCTTATTTACCCTGGAAGTCATCTATCTGAAGGTACTGTTTAGTGCTAATAGAGCAGCCTGTCTCCTTGCTGGTGTAGCTCTGTGTGTAGCAATGAAGGTACCTGGCTGTCTTGTATTGGTAAATTATCCTTCCCTTTCCAGTATCTTTCTGGGATATTCAGCCTGTTTGAGGTACAGTGGTGGCATATCTGAAGAGTGCAGCAGTACGGTGGAGGAGGGGGTGGAGAACTTGTTTTGTGGCACATCATCGTCTTGTTTCGCCCACGGCCCGATGGAGTCATCTGATGGAGCTCATGTAATGCTGTGCAAAATGTCAGGAAAAATGAGGTTTCAAGGTGGCGTGATTCACCTGCGAGGGGTTTTAATGCGGTGAATCACGCCTGTCAGAAATTCTTCTGAACACTTCAGCATGGGGCCACTTAACTCTTTTGTCTGGAGAGTTAACTCTGCGTCTCGCTGGCTCCCAACAGCATCTCAAGCCCTCCGCACCACTGAAAAATGCAAAGTTGTGGTGATCCGTGGTTTTTCACATGCTTCCCTATATGCCAGGGGCTCTTGAATGTCTTAACGTGCTCTAGTCCTCACCCCAAAGCACGCTGAGCTGAAAACAAACCTGGGGTAGTGAACTGAGGGAGGGAGGTGGCCAGAAAGAGGACAGGCTGCGATGGCAGTGGTACCGTAACACAATAGCTGGGCGTACTTTGGGCTGCCGCTTGTTTGAAGTTAGAGGGGTTGGCTTTGATGAGCTCCACAGCAACTTTGGGCGTAGCAAGACCACAAAAGTATGATGGCGTATTTTGCTTCCCCTTTATCAGGCTGTTTAACTGCGCAGGCTGGTAGGGCAAGGCAGGAAGATGCACTAGGTCTGAAAAAGGCAAATGAAGTTGCCGTCTCTGTATGGTTTCTTTGATCTCCTTGGTGGTGGCAGCAATGCTAATTTAATGTTTGCAGACAACACAGGCACACTCAGGAGTCCAGGTGTTTTGAGGGTCTTTGTGCTTTGGGGGTCTACAGGTAGAGAGTAGAGGACAGACTCAGGTGCACAGAACTCATTACCGAAACAAGAATAAATCCCTTTGCTCCCTGGAGTGAAGTCAGGATGGCACAGCTGAAATGGGACCCGTGAGAGCACGTGGCCAAGCAGAGAGGCGTGGAAGCAGCTTTGTTTTGACTAAATACTCCCTGGCGTAGGCTTCACCTTAGGTGACACGGTCAGTGGTAGGGGTGGTCGGCTGGGGAAGGCACTGTATGAATGGTTCCTACAGGGATCAGGGGCAGTCTGATCAATGGTCCTCAACTATAATTGATGGCAAGGATTGCAGAGAGCAAGTCAGGCTTGAAATATGCCTGTGGCAACTTTGCGTTTGCCGCGGCTGACATTCCAGCACAAGGAATTAAGTGGAGGCTTGAAGAGAGACAAGGGTACATGTGTCCCCTTCCAGCCCTGCTCACCAGCTGTACGGAGGGGTGCTGTATGCCTGGTTACATAGAGGAATCCCACGTGTTTTGCAGTAAAAGCTAAACAGCAATAATACTGATTTTTCCTGCAGTATCCTTCTTTTCTCTAAATGGGAGAGAATGTTTGTAGAGGAATTTAGGCATCTCTGCTCTTTTGTTTTTTTGCTTCTTCCAGTTTCTTCCAAGCCAGGGACCTGTGTGAAAGTGCTGACGATTGAGCCCACAGGTAACGGCCGGCTGCAGGAAGATCTGGCTCTCCTAGCAGACTGCGCCCTGCCAGCCGAACTGCGGGTAGGGAGCGTTTATACTACTTCTGGTCTCTGTGGGGCTGTGATATGTGTTCACCTGTGTTCAGTCGCGTTTTCTCCGATCGAGTTTAGTGCTTGCTTGTTTGCTGGTGCTCTAAATGCTGAAAGCCTTTTATTGCTTGGAAATGCTGTAAAATCATTTAATGAGGCTGCTGGTCCTTTCCCTTGGATTTTTCCCCCAGCAGGGATCTCTGTGAACAAACCCCTCGCCATGCGGTTGGTGGGGATTTCCCCATTGACGACAGTGGGACAAGAGTTGGCCCCCAGCTCTTTTTCCTTCTCTCTGCCATCCTTCTTGAGTATCAGAAATGTTTTATCAGCAGGCATTGGTACCCGAAGGGACATATAGATGGAAGATGGCTTGCTTGCTAGGAACTGACACCCTGCAGTAGAGAGGTGCTTTCAAACCCTGAAAATATTTCCAGCAGAAATGTGAGTCCCTCTGAAGCAAATTTAACTTGACTGGCAATAGATGTGCTTTTCATAACTGCATCTTGTTGACCCTTAGAAATAACCCACAGACCACAGGTTGATGATCACTATGTTAAAATACCATCAGTATTATTAGTTAGGCTCAAATATGTGGATCTTTGCTCCCAGTTGCAGAAGAACAGGATAAATATTAGTGGTCTTCATTCTCCCTGCATCTGTTGATTTCTGTAGCATCAGCAGATTCACTCTGCTCTTGTGTCTGTCCCTTTTTTTCCTCTCTCTCGTACCAAGCACTGAATTTAATAACATGAACTCATTTTAGGTGGCTGCTGCGCCCGGAGGTTGTATGACTGAGTGATGTAGCGAAGTTTATTGCCTTTTTTCTTTTTGTCCCCTGCCGAATAGACCTGCCTGGTGCAGAGAGCATGTGTGTGTGTGTGCGTGTATGTGCGCACGGGTAAGGTTTCTCACCTGTAATAAGCCAGTGTGTTTTGCGCTGGCTTCTGGCAGACATATTTCTCTGAGTACTGAGCACTTTATAAAGGGAGTTTTTCTCCATCAAGTTTCCATCTACCAATGCAGAAATCTTTCCCACGTAACCTGCCTCCCCCAAATAAGTGTGCGTTTATTTGTGGCTTTCAATATGCTTTTCTGTATGTTTGCAGGCTTTAAAGAGAGGTGATACTATAAGTAAGCCTCAGATTTACCTCCCTGAGAATTAAAAAAAGGATCGTGGGCCCAAAAAACAGTGAGATTGACGTAAATGTTAAGTCACTTCACAAATAAAAAAAAAATAGTGCTTTCTGTTTGATTGCTTGTTCCCAGACCTTGATGACACGCTCCTGTCAGGTTAAGCTTTTCTTCTCAAGGGTTAGAAACACTTCCCTTATAATCCTTTCATGCAGAATAGGAGCTGGAAGGAAAATATGAAACTTGGGATAATATGATCATCTGACAGCACTGTGAATGCCTCCGTGAGCTGTGGTTTTCTTGCTGAGTTCATAGATCAGAACAACGGCGATTGCAGCAGCATTAGACTTGTTATGGCTGTAAAGGTGAAGAGAGCATGGGCACACGCCTGTTCACTCGAGAATTTGTATGCCATGCACAAACATGGGTGATTTCTTTAAAAGCCTGATAAATTCTAAAAGATTCCTGTTTTTCTCTCTCTAGGCCTTTTTTTTTTGTTGTTGACTTACAAAGAACATACGAACAAAGCTCTTCATCCTGTTGCCATTTATACCTCATCCTAATGTTTGCAAATTGTTAAATTCTGTGAATTGGGCATCTTTGCTCTGGGACAGAGGTATCACACATCCTTGTTCTTACAGGGTTTGATGCCATACAAGGAATAATATACAAACTGTGTAACCTAAAATGTCAGGGACAACTGAATAGTCACGTACAAACATCCGTGTTCTTGAGAGAAACACACGTTTTTTTCCAGCCTATACAGAACACAATAGGTATTCGGCTTCTGGATAAAAGCCAGCATTTCCAGAATTTGACATTCTGAGCTGCTGCATCTCATGTAATGCCGTGTTACATGAAATGGGGAGGTATACAACTTTCTGTTTCACTATAAACAAATAATTTGCCTGTAATGTCTTTGATAATTGAATGATGCAGAAAACTCTACGTGTCCCAATTTCATAGTTCAGTAATACGTTATAGGGCTAAAACAATCATTAATGTTTGCTACCCAGTCACAGTTCATTATTTGTTTTTAGAATGAGAACAATCTATTCTTTGAACTCTTAAACAAGTTTATAATCTTGGTGTCTTGTTTCTTATTCCTGTTTATATTTGAAAGCCTTTACTCTTTCAGTGTTTGTTTTTAAAAGTGTGGTGGTTGTCTCTATTTTATTTTAAACTAGTAATGGCCAGAATTTTTCTGACCACAACAGCTGCTTCTTTGGTTTGTCGCAATGCAGTTTGGCAGTGACAGATTTAAGTAAAACACCGGCAAAAACCAGTCAACTGTCAAAAACCCACGTGGCTTTCCAGTCTGCCTAGCTCTTCATCTCCTGTCTGCCAGGTGACCTCCGAGTTAGAGACTCCAGGGCTTCCAGTGTATGAGACTATAGGCACATCATTTCCTCGTAGCTGGTTTTTCATTAACTTTTAACCGAAATCTTCTTTTCAAAACCAAGGTGAAATCAGACTTAAAAGGATCAGAGTTTGCTGTGAAATAAATACTGTTCTCTCCATCTGTATCGACATTTGGTGTGGCTGCAAAAAAATGTGACCATTTGTCACTTTTGGGGTAAAGCTAAATCTTGTAATGTGTAGAAAGAACAGTTGGAAACAAGTCGATGGGTTCCATCTTGTCTGCCTCCGCGCCTGTGTAGTGTGGTTGTCCATGGTGGTTATTCCTGTGCTTTGCTTTGCCCATTTGGCAGAGGCAGATTAACTGAACTATTTACAACATGCTTCCAATTTTATTTTTTTTTTTTCATCCAATCCACTTGCATCTGGTTATGGGCTGGTAATCTTCTCTTGGATCACTAACCCCTGTATTTTGTGTTGTAATTTATTTACAGTTTTCTTGCTGAGATAATCTGGCCAAGGTACAAATTGCTGCCACTGATTTATTTTGCATGTTTTTGCCTCTAGCAACGTTTCTATTTAAGTGCTAATAGCAAATGGGTAGCAGCAAATGTGGTCCTCCACATGCGACGGCTGGAAGATCCGGTGAATGTTCAAGCAGTCTTATGCTATAGAGGTGTTGAGAATGTTTCTGTGTGGTGAATGAGTTATTCTGAATGTGTTTGCACCTCGCAGGCTAGACTGCCCTGTGCTTCCCGGGCAGCATACTTAACTTTGGCAGCTGCGCTTTGTCTGTGCAGGGGGGTGCTAAGGAGGTTGCCTGAACGGCGGGGTGGGAGGACTAAGCCAGTTTTCTGCAGGGAGACCCTGAAAGGGAGATGAAATTCCTCAAGCGTGACAAGGGAGGAGAGTAGAGGTAGTGAGGACTTAAAAGGGGAGTAAAAGGGAAAATTCTGCCAAGCCACTTCATGCTGAATAGGAGAGACAAAGACCTGAACCTGCTTTTGTAGTAGGAATTGGAAATGACCTTGTAAACCTGAGCATCAGAGTGGGGACCAGGCAAGGCTAGAAGGAGAAAACTGAGCCCAGAGGAGTTTGTAATTCAGGAGACAAACTCTGAGACAAATAGAACTCCCATGTCCATTCCAGAGGGATGGATTCCTTTTAAAGGTTTACCTTTGGACAATGAAAGGGGAGCAAAGAAGGGATGCATGTAGGAGATGTGGAGTTTATGTCGCAATTAAAGTTCTTGTGCTACAAAGAGTGGCATCTTATCAAAGCCTGTTTCTAGGTTTGTTTTACCTGTAATGTGCCTGCAACCGTGTAGCCTTGAAAGTCACGTCAGATTTTCTAGGAGAGGACGCGGAAGCTGTGGGGAAACAGTGGGCAGTTGGATCGTCACTACTGGCATCTGTCATGGGATGCAACAGAGAGCGTGGCTGCAGATCCCAGACCGCTGTCTGTTCATTGCCTTGAAACGTGAGATACAGATACCAGCAAAATAGCGGCCTGGGGAATCTACAACTGGGACAGTTTGATCTCACCTTTGATGCTGGAGGTGCTCGTTGTGTTACAGCTGTATAAAAAGCAGGTAATAGAGCAGGTGGGGAGCGTTCCTCGAATTGCTGCATCCCCTCTGGGAGAGGAGTTCCCCGATGAGGAAGGACCCACAGGAGAGAGGTGCTACAGCGAGGCAGCGTTACTGTGACAGTCACGTGCACAATTTAAATGTCACTGGGCTTACGCTCCTGTGATTAGGAAACAGAAGATGCCAAATGTTGCTGTGGACAGGCAAAGAGCCTGGCAGATGGGTCCAGATTGCCATGTTCACTGGTGGTGTGAGCTTTTGCCAGCTTGGTGCCTTGCCACATCCTAGGACCTGTTTTGTGAGAGAAGCCCCACTGCATGCGAACTGAGCTTGGCTGAGCACCGACCCAGCGTCTTGCAGGCTGTGTCTTTGTTTGGTTTGGGAGGGAGGAGTCATCTGGCTCCCAGTAAAGCTGAAAGTCAGTTGCTTTTAGTTAGGATGGAGGCAGGCATGTTGGAAATGGTGCGTAGGTAGTCTGCGATTGGGAGACTGATCTTCCTGGTCGGCCCAGCGTTTTCCCAAGTGCAAACTTGGAATGTAACTTTCCTGGATGAGAGCGAGCGGTAATGAACTCCTTGGCCCAGGCAGCTCAGGGGCATGTGCTTGGAAAGCAAGAACCAGGGGAAACTTCTGGTTCTAGAGATTAATTGTCTTGGTTACGTGACTGTGAATATAAACTTTTTTCTACAATTGAATTACCCTGTATATAGGATAAGGTGTAAATATTTGGAAGTGTCACTTTAAAATAACATAAGGCCAACAGGGTTTTTTTTTTTTGTGTGTGTGCTGTCTTTGTTGGCATGTGGGACTGGGAGGAGGTGTGTTGGTGTTAAAATAATTCACTAGAGTATTAATACTGCAACAACACTATCTTTGGCTGCAAATCAAATGAGAAATTTAAAATGTGCTTTAGAAATGTCGGATTATTCAAGTGAGGCAGTAATTGTAGCCAAACCATTTCAAACTGGTGTATACATCTATGTAATCTATACATTACTACATCTATCTGTACATCTACACAGTAAAGGGCTAGTCCTAAGGTGTAGTATGCTTATGATACCCACTACGTGAAGTAAACTTCACCTCCACTTGGTTATCTGCCTTGTTAGGTGGGCACAGAAATGCTTTCCAGAGGTGTATGGAGGGTCAGGGAGTTCCCATGGATAAGGGAGGCAGCTGTAACTTGTACCAGGAATATCTCTATCAGGAGTGCAAGGACTCCAGTTCCTCACATGGAAATCTGTGTTCAGAGCATCTCTGGTGCTCTGCACTGTGGTGAAGGACCGGATGGATGGTTGCTTCTGGGAAGACCAAGAAGTCCAAACTTGGGGCCCTGAGTCTGTTTAAAGCACAAATGTTAAAGGTAGGGTTTTCTGGTTTCTCTTCCTAGGTTGGTTTTGGGGAGTTGCCGTTTGACAGCACTGACAACTTCAACAGTTGTCCCGACGTGTGTTTTCGGGTGGCAGATTACAACTTTTTGTGCCATAAGGTATGTGCTTGTGCTATACTTCATTCTTCTCTCTTTTTGCCATGAGTCTACTCTACCTGTCTCCCCCACTCATCCAGTGCTGGATACACTCTGCAAAAGCAGCATTGCCTCATCAGCTGGAAAATCAAGTCTTGTTGCAGCTGGAAACTGTATTTAAAGCATTTAACAAAGCAGCAGACCTCGCCCTTGTTGCAGAGGTGAGGAGATAAATTTATGGATTCAGCTACAACATTCACAGCTGCAAAATCTCCTACTGCTGGCTTGTGAGTTCAGTATCTGGAGAGGGGAATGTTTGATCTGCAAGTAAACAGCAGTAAGAATGGATTTTGCAATCCAACCTCAACTCAAACTCCTGCCCTAAAGCCATACTACTTTTGAATCTCTTAAGTTTACAAATTGTTTTTTTTGGTTCTGAGGGTAGGCATGCATAGAAATAAGGTATGGAAAAATGTTGGAGATGCAGCTTCAAAATATAGGGAGAATCAGAGTCTTAACTTCCGAAATATCTTGGAGCTGCTCTGACAGCTGGTTGGTAGTGCCATTTGACTTGATGCAATGAGAAAGATGCTAGTGTTTGGGTCTGTCTTTCCTCTCCAGGCATTTTTCTGTGGTCGCAGTGATTATTTCAAAGCCCTTCTTGAAGACCATTTCAGTGAGAGTGAGGAGCTGCAGACACAGCCCAGCATCCCTGTGGTGACTCTCCACAACATCTCAGAAGACATCTTCATCCGGGTCCTCTACTACATCTACAGCGATGATACAGAGGTGAGGCCAGTCGTGGAGCATTTCCTCCTGTGCTGGTTAATCCTGGAGGTGTTCACCGCTGCGTTTTCCTGCAGCATCTGGAGGGGGGCATGTGTGTGTGGTTTCTTAAATCTCACTGCCCTACTCTGCTACCTCACTTCTGTCTCAGGAACCCACATACTGGGTTAGCCAGGCAGGGATCTCATTTATGTGCATGACATTCGGGAAGCAAATCCCTAGTCTTTCATCCAATAACAAAAATTTGGAAATTAGGTTGCATGTTGTACATTGGTGTGATAAATGCAGGGCTTTGCAGATTTCCCTCTTGGACTCTGTGGAAGGATAAGGTGAGCAACTGCCAGTAGATGGCAGATTGAACACGTTTGGAGATGTGGAAAGGTTGAGAGATTCTGCTTATTTACTCTTGGCATCATAGCCCACGTTTCCATTTGTAGCAAGTCATTATTTCCACTGTTATTTATTGCTGGGGTGGGCAAAGGTTCCACTGGGAGACCAACGCCTTGCTGTGCTCAGTATCGCAAGCAGTAACCTCGCCTAGTTTTCAGCCTAATGGAAGGTGCAGCAAACCTCAGCATTTAAGCAGCTTCCTGCTTTGGTTTTGTGGCAAATGCTTTCAGCAGATCTAGCTACAAGATGCCGGAACACTCTCTGGCATTAGGGCAGTGATCGGAGCTGCTGCTGCACCTGCCAATGTCACTTCTCCCAAGCAGTATTTGTGCTCTGGGTTAGGTGCCACATACAGAGCGTGCACGCAGCTGTGACCTTGCTTCTGCTGCTCCGTTCACCTCTGGGTAGCAGCAGGGAATGTGCGGTAGGGAGAGATGTATTTAGCAGGCAGCAAGGGCAGGATTGCCGCTGGTATGCTGCAGAGCAGATGCTTCGCTTGTCTGCACTCTTCCCGCAGCCATGTGCTGAAAGGGCAGGCAGAGAGGGAAACAAGCACGTTGGGGCTGTGAAGACCCGCCTGACCTTGGGACTGCACTGCAGCGTGACCCTGTTCCCTTGCACCTCTCCAGCCTGCCTGTCCTCCTCGTGATGGCTCACAGGAAGGGTTTCCCAAGCAGCCATTCCTTTCCAAGGGGTGTCCCAGCTGCGCTGCTTGGACTTGGAGCAGGAGGACAGACCAACAGCAATGTGTAGGAGTTGAAAGGGCCTTGCTCGTATGTTTTCTATGCAGAATGGTGCTGTCAGAGAAACTAGCTTGGCTTTCAAACTGAGCAGCCAAGATATGAGCTTCTGCAGAGAGCTCATGTCATGAAAAACTATCAGGAAAAGTGGTCAGGAAAACAGGAATATAGCTCAAGTTCCACACTTTTATGGAGTGTTCTCCCTGCCCTGGGTTTCTCCAACCAAGAGTCAGCACTCCCAATTCCATGTTTCTTTTTCCAAAAGATTTATATGTCTCTCTGCTATGTAGTAGTGACAGTGCTTGCAGTTGGAAGGAAGAGTCTGAGCAGAGGACAGAAAGGGTTCCAGGCAGAAAGAGAAGTTGCTGACTTCAGAACCCCACAGAACACTTGTGTGGGCTCAAGGGGAGCTTTTGGAGGAACGTTTGCCAGGTTTGTCCTTGGTCAAGCAGTTGGGAGCTGCTGCCGTCAATAGTATTGACTCAAACGCCTCCAGCTCGTGAGGTTCCTGGAGCTTATGAAAGGACAAAGCAGCACTTCATTAATAACCCCAAGAGCTTTGTTACACCACTGTGGCACTATGACATTCAGGGCATGCCTCTAACACATCTTGCATCCTTCTGCACAGCTGTTGCAGGGTGTTACACAGCTGAGACATTTGCTGTGGGTATTCTCTGCAAACACCGGTGTGGACAGCTGTAGGGGAAGAAATAATGAGCCTTTCGCAGTTGTCAGAGTGAGCAACCACATGTGTGGATGTGCGCAGCAGTGGTTTTGCTGCTGACCAGTTATCAGGGGAGTGGACCGTGCTGCACCAGAGTTAACCATTCCTCAGTCTAGACCAGTGTGGCTTGGTCTCTAGATGCAAGTGATCTCGACTCCTCCATAGCCAGGGTATGCTGCATCCTGCAGATTTGCTCTTAAAATGGATGTGGTAACGGTGCTCTTTGCACTTCACATTAGCAGGAACAGATCTGTGCGGAGAGAGGCTCTAGTTCCAGGTTAGTGACGCAGATGGCTGACTAAAATAGGATTTGCCCAGCCAGGGGGAAGAGACTAAGTGAAGCTGGAGGTGGTGTCTCCAGCATTATCTACAGCATTTTTTATCCTCAGATCACTAGCAAAGAGCGAAAGTACCCAAGAGGAAAATGGGAGGGTGGGTTTCTAGCTCAAGAGACTGAAAATGTTGAAGGCCATTCACAGTGTAAGCTTCAGCATCTGGTTCATGAATTTAGTTCAGCTTGAATGCCTGTTAAAGTTCCAGTAGTATTCGATGTGCAGAGTCTGTTCCTTACCTAGTTGGGCCTCACCTATAGTTTATTTGGGGTGCAATTTTCTGTCCTTGGGTGTACCCCTGTACGTGCCAGGGAGGTTGTGCTGGCTGAGCTAGCAGAGCCAGTTTGAGGAAGGAGCTTAAGAGAATTTTGCACGTTTTTCACTACACGCAAGTCCAGCAGTACAAAATGGGAGGAAAAGTCCTAGTGGGGACACAGTGCTCTGTTCTGCCAGCCTGTTCCGTTTGTCTCTCTGAAGGGCTTTCAGTACCTCTGGTAAAAGCTACCTCCTTCCACTGCCACATTGAACGTTTCTTATCAGCCAGCTTTCGTCTGCACTTCGGTGTTTCAGTGTTGCTTTGTGCTTAGCTAGAGGGGTCAGCTGCAGCATGGCAAACTTCTTGCTTTGTGCTGAGCAAGCTGCCTCTGCAGCATTTTAAACTCCTCTGTGGTAACTGAGTGGAAGACCTAGCCCTGAAAGATTGAGTTCCTGTCTCTCCATAGTACTGTTAACGCTTGTCCGGTAATGGACCAAACAGCACTTTAGGGGAATCTCTGCTAAGACAGAAGAGAAGGCAGTTTGCCAGAGACAAGTGAAGTGGGTAGGACTGGACAGTAATTCCCCTCTTTCCATTGCCAGCTGTCCCCGGAAAACGCCTACGACGTGCTGTGCGTGGCAGACATGTACCTGCTGCCTGGGCTCAAGCGCCTTTGTGGCAGGACCTTGGCTCAGATCCTCGATGAGGACAACATTGTGAGCATCTGGAGGATTGCAAAGCTGTTCCAGCTGACCCGGCTGGAGGACCAGTGCACGGAGTACATGGCAAAGATCATTGAGAAGGTAGCAGAAACACTCCCCACTGCACTTCCCGCATGTGCCCGTAAATCTAACTGAACAGTGAGCCACAGAGACAACAAATTTAATGGTTGCAGTTTGGTCCGTAATAAATGCTTGCCCTCTTTGGTTTAATGTGCTTCCTGAAAATGAGCAGCGGTTAAGTAGCAAAGCCCGTGGTGAGTTAGGACAGAGGATAAGGAGTGTGTCAGTACCTGATGTCGCTGCAGTAAGCCAGATGCTGGTGGCTGCCTAGCGCATCCCTGGGGACTGTGGGGTGAAAAACCTGCCCAAAAAGTTCTGCAAGTGCCATGGGCAGGTGACTTTCACTGAGCTTTCAGCCACCATGCCCAGAGCAACAACGGCGTTGCCCGAATACACCAGCTTGCAGCCTGGAGAGCCCGGTGGGGCGTGCGGGGGAGCTCTGTGCAGCAAATGGTTTTTGGTGTTTGCTGGAGGGAGCTCTTCCCCGCATAATGCTATAGAAAGGAGTAATCAATGTGTGATCTCTACTCTCCTCCAGGATGACAAATCTAACAGTAGGGGTTTCCACAGGGGAAATTCGGCCGTTAAACAGCCAGAAGTAATGAATCTAACACTGAAGTTTTCTTTATGGGGCTCCATTTAAGCGTATCCTGAGTGATTATAGCTTGAAGTTTCAGGACTCATGGAGAAAGTTGCCATACAGAAGTATAAACTAGAATCTATGGGGTGTTCTTATCCCGAGACAGACCTTTATAAATGGCTTGTACAGTTCACATGGGAATGTAACATTTTCACCCGCAGCTTGAAAGGTGTGAAATTCTTTTTGGCATGTGAAAACAGCAAAGGAAATGATTCTGGGGCTGTTATTTTGTTCAGTGTATAGCTTGGGGATGATGGACACATCAGCATGCACCCAGATTCTGGCTTCTGAAAAAGGGATTTGGTTTGAAAGCTGAATGAATATCCCAAGTAGTAATCGGGGAAGGTAGGGCTTTACTTGTGCGTTCCCCTTCTCTAGCCTGAGTGGGAGTCCTCGGACCCAGCGTTGGCAATGTGCCTTCCTAAGGGTGTTGGCACAAGTGGAGGCACCCCAGCTGTTCAAACAGCAGCAGCTGCCAGCAGCTTGTAGAGATGCGCTGATGATGGCAACAGGGAGAGATTTTGGCAGCGTGTGTAGGATAGAGCAGGGCTCAGCAACCTGCCGTGCCCAGGCACAGTTTGGTACTGTAGACAGACGGAAGCTGCCTCTCACCCTTCAGCACACCACATGTTCCCGGGGAACTTGATGCAAAATCATTCATGGGCGACCTGATTCTGTCAGGCTGGGTGCGGAACAGAGCAGCTGCCTTGCTGTGATCTGCTGGTCGGCTGTTGGTGGTGGGGCTGAGAGCCATGGTGGGGACAGAGTAATCTGTGGCTCCTGGTTCTGAACTGGGCACAAGCACCCGCTGTCTCGCCTGTTGCAAGACATTTTCCAAAACTGTCTGGCAGCATCTCCGGGTTCCTGCTGTAGGAGCCTTTCTGGAAGGAATATTGTGTATATTCGTGTGCCCCAATACCAGAACTGTGGATGCCTAGTGGGTGTTACAGTGAGCTGTTTGAGGCACAGATTGCTTACAGTTGTGACCATTTATTGTTGGAGCATTACTGCCTCCTTAGGATGAACGGCAGGATCTCCAAGTGATGTCTGTAGGAGATGCAGGAAGATTTGGGTCTCCATGTGCCCTTAGCATTCCGTTTTTCTTCTGTGGGATCCCTCAACAGTGGCTGAGCCCATTATCCCAACCCTTTACATCCCTTTGCCTGTCTTCTTGTCTTCCTAATGGTTCTCTTTCCCACCCTGTCCAGCTGGTGGAGTTGGAGGAGTTTGTGGCTGCTGTGAAGGAGAATGCGGAGGCTGTGGAGGAACGGCAGGAGACTGACTCCATTCCTCTGGTTGACGACATCCGCTTCCACATCACCAGCAACGTGCAGACTTACAGTGCCATCGAGGAAGCCAACCAGAAACTTGAAGCTCTGGAAAACCTTCTGGCCAGTATAGGGCTTGAGTGCTGATGTGTGCAAACCCTGCCTGTCGTGTACAGCCTGCGTAGCCCCCAGTGGGTTGGCTCGAACATCTGAGTCTCTGAATGTCTCTCTTCCCCTCCTTTGTCCTCTTTCCCATCCACTTTCAGGCATGGTTTCTTTTTAAATTATTTATGTCTGGACATGTGCATGTCTGGTTTGTGTTTGGTTTTATTTTGTTTTTTGTTTCTCCTTCAGAAATAGCTCCCAAAGCTCAGCCCAAATCAGTAGCTGCTGCTTTGTACAATACAATGCGGACAGGAGACTGCAAGCTGTTGGGGGTGGTAAGGGAGCTGCTCTGGGGGACTCGCCACTGCCTCGTGTTGGGACCCGTCCTGTTCTGTTGCCCAACAACACAGCTCTGAAACTGGTTCGTGCCAGGATGTTTGTTGAATTGCCACCAACAGAGGAAGAAAACTGGATTAAACTCTCCAAATAAGTACATTGGAAAGGAGGTGGCCTTTCTTTCACTTCAGCATTATAAGATTGGCAAAGATGGGCAGTGCTTCCCTAACAGTGACACAGGAGTACTTGGCTATGTGGAAGGCACTGTCTTCACCTGCTGTTCTAGTTCTTAGATGAAAAAAAACCAAAGTGATTTCCAGGTCTTCCCTAGGCTTTCATTGCTTTGAAGTGCTCAGAATTTAAAAGCCTTGCTTTCTGAACAAACAGCTGTGGGAATACAGTAGAGACCAGAGTCTTTCTGTTCTTAGAAAGCAGTAGCTTTCAATGCATTAAAAAGGGAGAGCACCCCTTTTCTTCCTAACAGGGGAAGGAAACACCTTCTTCTTGGAAACAGCACTTTTCCCTTTCTTTTATCCATTGTGGTAGAGCAAAACTGACTTGCTTGGTGGGTCAGGGAAGAGGGGTCACCGAAAATCTTTTTTAAAAGGAAAAAGGGCCTTTTGGGTCTCTCACAGGGCAGCCGTCCCATTTGTCGACCTTCTGGCTTTGCTCAGCCTTGAGCCTCGTAGCTTCATTGTTCTCCAGGAAATTCACTGTTTGTACTAATGAATGTTTTTGAATCTGTGTTCTGCAGTAGGTCGTGTTATCTCGTGTTGTCTCCTTAGACTCCTAATGAGGGTAATGATATTCTTTCTCCTTGGCACCAACCAGCAGGCGATACCCCTGCATAAAGCTTGCCTTGCCAGCTAGGCTGCCCTCAGAGCTGTTCGTCTCTGGAGTGGCGTGTTATGAGAGGCTTGGGTCTCCAAGGCGCAGGCCGGGCATACTTTGCCTTGCTGTGAGTTGGGAGGGAGAAGAGACGTTGTGTGAAGCACACAGAGTGTCTTGCACCGGCAGTGGGCTGCCATTGCTAATGCGTATCGTCATTTTGGTCACTTTGTGAGGCAGGAGCTTGAAATAATCCATGTCAGGTGTGCTTTCAGTGTTTGAGGTGGGAACTGGGCATGGATCCCCCGCAGCTTCAGGGTGTTGTTTTCTGTAATGGTAGTGGTGCTTCACATGGATAAAGAAAGGGTTTGGAGATCCAGCATTTGGCAGGGACTTGCTTCAGGTGTGGATGTGCCAGGAGGATGGGTTTCTTTTCTTTGCTGATCTCACCAGGTAAGAGACTGATGCTCCCACGCCGTGGGAGAACTGCAGCCTCACTGCCCCTGCTCAGAGCATCTGCCTGTATCTGGCATGCGTTGAAGCTGTTTGCCTGTGCGTGGGCAGGCTTTGGGCACCACTTGCACTAGGCAGGCTGGGTTCGGTTGCAGGGAGGAGGGGGCACTGGGGTTTGGCTGCTGGACTCGAGAGAAGCGGGACTTTGGGAAAATCATGTGTCAGGATTGAGTTGTACTACCAGAAGCTGGGGACAGAGCTGGTGGGGCAGGAATGAGGTGCATTCACTTAACTGGACCCCAGTGCTTGTGCACTTTGTCATCTGTCTTTACCTGGTTCCTCTTGCAGAACAAGGCTCGTTGGGGCAGGGGATGGTGGCTGCAGGGCTATTCAAGCAGGGCGTGCTTCAGTTCTTCAAATTTTGTTTCAAAATGCTTGTGAGGAAGTGCAAGGAGTTCTTGTGGTTTGTTTTCTGCAGCCATATTAGGGTGAGAGGAGAGGATGTGTCCCTGCAGGGGTGTGTTGCTGTTTGGAAGCAGGGAGCAGCAGGAGCGTGCTTCTGTTTGGGGTGGTGACGCGGAGAGGAGCTGTGTGTTTCTCGTGTGATTTCTGGAGCGTACCTCCATGCCCATCTCTAAGCTTGGTGTGGCTTTGACAGGACCACCAAAGAGCCCAGCACAACTTGAACTGATAAAGGCATCTCAGTGGACTTGAGGAGGGGAAGAGCTATTGAGAAAGCTTTAATATGAAGTCCCATATATTTTGGAGAAAGAAGGGTGAAAGCAGAGCTGCCTGTTCTCTTGCTCAGTGGAGTGTTAGGTTCATGAAAAGCCTGCTACCGAAACAACTGACAGCTTAACCCAGCTGGTTCAGTTCCCCTGCCGTTCTCTTCCCTATATGGCTGAAGATGATACTGAACATCTAAGCAGGATGTTTAGTTTATCACATCCCCTCTGCTTCTCCTGCATAAATTCCCCATCTGACATCTTAGCTTTCCACAGCAGTGGTTGTGACAGCCCTGCCCAAGGCTTTCACGGAGCCACCAGAGAACAGGACGTGGCCTCTGCCTTCTGCTTGTGCTGAATGAGATGCAGAAACAGGATTACCAAGGAATGTGCTAACGCTTTTCTCTGCAGATGCCTCAGCCGCTAAAGCAAAGCGGACACTGGCAGCGGGCAAAGCAGGAGGGAGGCAGAGGAGGGGCAGCGGTGCTGGGAAGCGTTTTCCATATGGCTGCTCTGGAATAATTCCGTTCCCACGTCCTTAACCACGGAGCAAGCGAGCCTGCAGTTGTACATGCGGGAGGAAAGGGCAGCGTGGCCTTTTGATCTGCCTCCCCAGTAGCACAGTTCCACGCGGGCTGCCGAGCAAGCGCCTCATCCCTCCGCGTGCACTTAGCGGTCACATCTGTGAGCCCTGTCAGGTTGTCCAGTTACTCGGGGTCCTTTCACACCCCCCATCCCTTTTGGCAAAATAGGGCTATCCAAAAGCATGCGTAAGCAGATGGTCAGCATGCAGGCAAGCTCTCTAATTAAGGAGCCAGGTCAAAACTTAGATTTGAATTCACTTTATTCTTGCTGCAAATAATTTTACCACAAAATAAAAACCTTCTGATTTTTCTTCTGTTGCCAGTGTCCTTATTGTGTTCTGTTGCCTCTGTCCTTTTCAGTTACTACTAGCCACTTGTTGAATTAAGACGACTGTAAAATTTATCAGAGCAACAATATATTTAAGAAGAAATGTGTAAGCATGCGTGCAGCAATAAAATAGTATATTTCACTATATCTGTCCCTGCCCTGGCCTCTTTGTTACCAACCGACAACAGCAGCGTGGCTTTATTTCTGAAAGGACTTGATGAGCTCCTTCAGCTTACTGTCCCGCACCCGGGCCAAGGGCTGGCTCCGCACCGCCTGGCTTCCAGGCAGCGAGGCAAGTGTGCCTCTGCTCTCCTCCCTCGGTGACCCGTTCCTACGGTCCGGCCAGAACACGGGCGTGAAGCACCGACTTGTTTTTACTGGCTCCTTTCTCCCAGGATTATTCTGTTTCATGAGCAGCACCGTGGCACAGGCTTGGTCAGCGTGGTGGTGCGTCAGGGAGGAGACCTTTGTCTCGGAACATTTCTCTGGGCAGCCCCGGACAGGTAAGTTGTCCCTCCCTTTCTTCTTGTCACCCTGTGCCTCTGTCATTGCTCACTGTCCATTAAATCCAAGCATGGAGATTTCTCAGCCTCTGTGCTTCGCTACTCTGACTTGTTCAGTGTGCCATGGACCCTCTGAAACGTGTTTTCTCCAAAACTCCCCTCTGCTGAACTGCCCGGGAACTCCCTCCCCTCTTCCCTGAGGACACAGGTGCTTATTTTCTCTTTTGCTTTCTTGTGTGCCTGGGTGGCTGCCATAGTCCCGGTGGCAATGACTGAGCTGCCTGTGTGCGGCCCCTGTTGACTTCAGAGCGTGACTGGCGCTCAGGGAACGAGGATCGAAGCCCGTCCCCGTGGCTCCGTGTAGGAACGTGCAATTTTCGGGGGGGGGATACTAATAGCATCTGAATGACTAATGCTGTTGAAGGGAGGGACTGGGCTTGGAAAAGTTCAAGCGCTAATCAGGCTTTTGGGACTCAATAAACAGTGCTTACAAGGAGTATCGTTGTGCTGTGAGAGCCTGGAGTAAACGACGAGGTTCTTTAAGAGGTTTGAGCTGTTCGTGTTGGTAGTCATGGTCAAACCGTGGAGACAGCACCTTCCCACGTAACAGCTCGCAGTCGGTGTGCGTCGACAGACTCGTCTGCTCCGGTGACGCTGAGTTTTTCTCTCTCCTGCTGTGGGCAGCCTGGCGAAGGCTGGTACAGCCTGGGGAGCTGGGTTGCGTCTGCCTGTGCTCGGCTCCCAGGGATGAACAAACCGAGCTGGGGCTGGCGATGTGAAACCAAGGCTTGGCTCGGTTCTCCGCTCGCAGCGGGTGGGAGTGCTGGCAGAGCAGGTTTTTGTTTTACCTTCTAAGCTAAAACAGATTTGACATAACGAATTTATTAAGATGAGAGGCCACACTGGCAAACCATTTGTCAGAGCTGGGGCCTGTTTTGAATAAAGGTGCTGGCTCTGCCGGGGGCTGCCTGCCTCGAGGGAGTGCTGAGGGAGAAGGGCAGAGAACTCCTTTTCTAGGGTTGCAAGTGGTTTCTGTGGTTCTAGGTTGGAAATAGGAGGTGGGTTACTGGCAATAACCAAAGCAAGGGCTGCAGAGAGGCAGAGTATTAATAAGGGGACAGCAGCCAGATTTGGGTGCAGCTGTGGACGTGCAGACCCTTCAGGCCAAAGCCAAGCTAGGAGCTTCAAGCTACATGCGATCAGCATCTGGGGAAGGGGGCAGGCATGCACGTGCCTTTCCCTTTTCCTCGCTGTGGTTAACTTTGTAAGCCTCCAAGTTCGGGACAAGGTTTGAAGGGCGTTTCAGGAGACTAAAGAAAGCCTTGGAAGAGGATCAGTACCCATGCAGAGAGCTAGCTCTGGTCCCGAGGGTCTGGCTGCTCGGTTCCCA